GGAAAGATTTTTTTAAGTGGGAATTTAACCCAGGGTTGCTTTGCCACTGAACCACATCCCCAGCCCTTTCTTGTCAGATGAAGAAGGGAGCTAGAGGATTCCAGATTCAAGAAGCAGCTTCTTCAAAGACTTACTACATACAAATGTAAAGTCAGGGCATAAAATACGAAGGAAAGAATGGCAGGAGAAGAGAAAACAAGTCATGAAGAAACTTCACTATTGTAAGTTTTATTTTTCTCTCATAAATATTCTTTTTTTGAGGGGGGCAGTACTGGGGATTGAGTTCAGGGTCTCACTTCTACTAGGCAAGCACTCTAGCACTGAGTTACACCCCAAGGCCTTTTAAGATTTTATTTTAAGAGAGAGACGGAGCCTTGCTAAATTTCCAGGCTTTTTCTAAGTTTCCCAGGTTGACTTTGAACTTGCAATTCTCCCCTTTCAACCTAGCAAGTCACTAGGATCACAGGTGTTTCTCCTCTTTTCTAAATCATATTGCTGTGCTGTTTCATATCCAATGAATGAAATCAGCTGTTTTGTATATTTTTTTTCAAGCTTCCTAGTCAATCACAACAGGAAGAAAAATTCAGTACTAGTACTAGTTACTCCAATCTGGAAAGAAGCAAAAATAGTCCTGGGATGTAATATTTATATACCAATGAGGAAAAAGACTTAGATTTTAATCCCCATGAACTAGGAGTTCTCTATCATGAGTGAAGACAGCCCTTTTTCTTTGGTACATTATGGCCTTCTTAAACATTTTGATATTCTAACAACAATAGTGGTATAATCTAGAACATCACCACAGAGTTGATGCATCGACTGAAGAGAGTATTACTCATGCTTCTTAGGGAATAACCCATTAACTTTCATGTTGTCTCTTCAGTCTGTGCACTAAAGAATCTAACAGTTGGATTGCTGGTCTGGATTCCTTTATAAGGCCTTGATTCCATCCCATTATCTACTGGACATGTCCACCTGGCTGTCCAAAGGCTCCCCAGACTCAACAGACTTAATTTATTTCCATTGCGTTAACCATACCATCATCTCCTCCACATTCTGCCATTCCTTCTCTATTCCCTATTTTAGATTGCTTCTTAAACCAGATGTTTAAAAAATCAGCCCATATTATTACTTTCCAGCCATAGTCCACATGCAAAGCAGTCACCAAACCCTGTGAACTCTCCCCTTTACTAAGTGCTCATAACCATCCTTCCCCTGACTACAACTCGGTTTCTAGTATTTCCTGCACAGACTACTGTAATAATAGAATAGTGATCTCCTCTGTACCTAGCCTTAATTCCTTCTGATCCATCTTTCAAACTTCCATCAAAAATATCTTCCATGCAATTTAGTAATTTCTGCTTATTTAAGTCCTTCAATAAAGCCATATCACAGCCAGGTTGTGGTAGCACATGCCTGTAATCCCAGCTATTTAAAAGAGTGAGGCAAGAGAAAGTCAAACTGGAAGCCAGCCTGGAAATTTAGCAAGGCTCTGTCTTTCTCTTAAAATAAAATCTTAAAAGGCCTTGGGGTGTAACTCAGTGTTAGAGTGCTTGCCTAGTAGAAGCGAGACTTTGAACTTAATTCCCAGTTCTGTCCCCCCAAAAAAGAATATTTATGAGAGAAAAATAAAATTTACAATAGTGAAGTTTCTTCATGACTTGTTTCCCTTCTCCTGCCATTCTTTCCCTTGTATTTAATGTCTTGACTCTACATTTGTATGTAGTAAGTCTTTGAAGAAGCTGCTTCTTGAATCTGGAATCCTCTAGCTCCCTTCTTCATCCGACAAGTCCCTCTCATATTTTATAAGACATCCGGATATTGTTTCACACAGTAAGTTGTTCTGTGGTTCCCGAATCCTTCTGCACAGACCCATTCATTTCTGTCTTCTATCTGCTTTTATTAGTCTACCTACCACATTGCAGTATGATTTTTGCTTATATGTCCATCTTTTTGTGTTTTTACCATATTTTGTGCCTTTGGAAGCAGATTCTTTGACGTCTTTGAATCCCCCATACCTATCACAGGGAATCTAGCATTGTAAATATTTTTGAGTAGATGAACGAAGTTTTAAAAAGTGAAACTGTGAAATTATATGCAACCCAGGTGCATATATCCTTTTTGTGTGTGTTTTATACAAGCACCATGTATAAGGAGATAGGCAGGATCAGGAAAATAGAAGTTGCCCACTAGCATAAGTTCTTCTCCGCCTAGTACTCTGTGGGGTGGGTGGGCAGGCCTACTATCTTTCCTATTGGCTAACTAGGCTAAAATATGATTTCCAAAAGGTTGAAAATATATAATGAGCTAGTTGAAGATATAAGTTAACTCAGTATGTTAGCTGGCTTTCCATCATTATAACAAATACCTGAGATAACCAACTTATAAAGAGGATAGGTTTATTTTGACTCTCAGTTTTGGAGGATTCTGTCCATGGATGACTGGAAGCCAGCCTGTGGGGAGGCAGCATATCATGGTAAAGAACTTGTGCTGGAATAATGCCATAGAATTCCTGACCAGGAAGCAAAAGAGAAAGAGAGACTGGGGTCTTATATTCCCCTTCAAGGGCATGTCCTCAGTGACCCAAAACCACCAACAAGGCTCCTCCTCATAAAGGTTCTGCCTCTTTCCAATAGTTCCATGGGATGGGGACTAAGCTTTTAACACGTGGGCCTCTGGGGAACATTCTAGATCCAAACTATAACATTTCCATAAGATTCCACCATGTATCAGTAGCATCCACTAACTAAAGAGATAATCAGTTCCAAGAAGGGTCTGAAGAACAGATACATAAGCAGTAAGGAATGTTGAAATGAATTTTCTAATAATGTAAATGGATTAATGTCTTATAGGGTAGTAAAATAAAATGTTTAAGTTTATCTCTTCTAATAGGCACAAATCAATTGTATCTCTAATAGGTAATATTTATATTATTATAGAAGGATCCATTTGCATTACTATAAGTTTTATGTTACTTTTATTTCTATCTTTACAGACTTATACAAGAGTCTAGTCAGCAGTGTTCACCTTCCAGAAGATCTTCTAGAACATGTCCAGCACTCCATTGTAAAGACATTTGCAATTTCCAAGTCTTAGACACTTGTTTTCTGACATCAGCAAGATAACACTATTTTCTTTCCCCAGGAGGAAAAAAAATTATATTCTCCATATTGGACATAAACCAAGCTTAGTCATTAAAGACTTTTAATTGAAAAACCAAGTGAAAATGCAAAGCATTATAGGATGGAGTGCTGGGAATTTTGCTTTAGTTCATTCTTGCTACTTTATAAATCTGAATGACATAATCTTGTAGCAGTTAATAACACAAATTCTGGGAGGCAGAGTGCCCACATCTGAATTGAAGTTCCAAGGATATGTGACCTTGGGGGAGTAAATTTTTTGATGCCTCAGTTTCCTCACTTGAAAAAATGAGATGATAATCTTACCTCGTGCTTGTAATAAGGGTTAAGTGATCTAATTTGTGTGTGTGTGTATGTGTGTGTGAACATGTGTGTGTAGCACTGGGATCAGTGCCAACACACAGTTAACACTTATTAAAGGGCTTGTTTGACGACTTTTAAAAAATATAATCCAGGTAAAGGTTAAGGGGAGAAAGATTCACATCTGAAATCTTTGAAGGCATTTCTCATGAAATGAGAGGGCTGAACTCTGGGTCAGTTCTGACATCATTTAGGATAAACTGCTTCCTCCAGAATTACCTAAGGCCAAATACAGTGCAACCCTGATACAATTCAATTTTCTTTTGATGCTACTCCTCTAAGGAAGTTTTGTCTTTTGAAGGAAGTCCAGCATCTAGTTTCCTGTGGGGAATAACATTTCATCTAGGGATGACTTGACCCTACTCCTTGCAAAGACAATTCTAGAATTATTCTGAAGGAATGCATAATCGAGTTGAGGATGGATCTAAAATAGGAAGGATAAAGAGCTTCTTGCCCAACTAGATTCTTTCTGTTCCTCATAGTCCCCCTGATTTCAGTTCATTCCTCTTGTCAAAAATCATCATCTGACATGAAGTGGGTTTAACTATATCTTGGATCTTGAGCACATAAATTAACTTAAAAACTGGAAGCATGTCATAAGCCATAAGCTATTAGTGAGAGCTAATGCAGAAGACAGGGAGGATGTGTCAAGATAGTCAACAAAATTGATATGAGACAGTCTATACTACCAGCATTTGCTCTCCATATATTTTGAAAATTTTCTACAGCAAACCAATACGGTGAGGACCACTAATATTTCTCCTAAATTTAAGGAAGCTTAGACTTAATTGCTTATCAGGGTCACACAGTAATTCATAGTCCCCAGTGTGATATGAAACGTGAACTACACAGTAAATTCCATCAGAATGGAAGCAAACATTCCATCCCTTCTCCTCTCTTGTCTTTGGTCATACGCTGTAGTTACTCCTCAGGGTCGTGTACAGACTAGAGAATGCTTTCTTGTCTCGAGACCAAGGAAACAGGTGACCTTACACAAGTGACCAAAAGGAATCTAAGCTTTTTGTGTTTATAATTGTCATATATCTATTTGCTCCTTGGTATAGTCACAGAAAGACTTTAGAGATAGGTCCAGAGCCTTTTTCAAAACATGTTGTTTTTCAATTAAAAAAAAATATTAAAAAACCAAATGCTCCCTTTAAAATTTTTATTTGAGAAAAAAATTTAGTTAAATCAAAGAAGTAATCATAACTTCTCAGCCCAAGGTTATTAGAAACCAACTTACAGAGCAGCCTCTAAAAGGTATTTTGTGGACGTTGAAGGTATCTATTCTCAAACTTAATAGTAGAGTCAAGCAAAAATTGACAGTAAAAGTTTACACTTTGTATAATCATTTATCTATACAATCATTTTCTTACGGCCTATAGATTTTACTTTATGGTACATATCATCATGTAGTGGTACCCTGAGCACATAGAAAATATGCAATAAATACTTATTAAACTGAAGTTGAATTAACAAGCACCATGAATTACATAATTTCTAACAACCAAACCAGTTACTGCTTCTCATCCTTTTGGTAACACGATGTAACATAACATCATATTTAAGTTGGGTAGATCCTTGGAAGAAATAGTAGTCTCCTAAAAATAAAAACAGATTAAATTATTTAATTTTACCCTTGTATTTCTTTAGGAAAAAAATCTGTTTTTATAGATTACCTAGATTAGATGAGATGGGATTTAAAAATATAAATATTGGGGACTCTTGGCTAGGTATTCTGCCCCTGGATATCTACCCAGAACCAATCACATACAGGGTGCAGGACTCAAGAGTGGCTAGTGTGGCCAGGTGGGGCACATATAGACCTTGATGGAGAAAAAATAGACTTAGGGAAAGAAAAAAATAATCTGAGACCAATTGAAAAGTTATGCTTAGGCTGAACCTGAAGATATTCACAACACAAACTTGAACTTCTTTCCTCATCCCACCTCAGTCCCAGACCATGAGGATGGATGAGGGTAAAAGTGACTAAAAAGAAAAGGTAAAGAATGTAAGGTGTAAGAAAATATGAGTCCAGGCTTGCCATGGGCTCACTGCACACACTAAGCAGCCAATGGAGTCACAGGAAACTCCAGGGGCTCAGACACAGGAGGACTAGCAGTGACCATGTCCCCCTGCTTGCCAGACCACCCTTGGACAGTGCTGGTGCCACTGCCCACTCATTTTTCTATCCTGTCTTCTCAGTCAGGCACAAGGTGTTTTCCTTCTGTGGCCCTATCAAGAATTCAGAGTCCCTCCCCTTTCCTATTTGGAGCTCATTCTCTGATCTTGGAGTTTGAAAATCTAGTTTAAGTGTTAGTAGGATTTCCAGTCTACTTACTTTTGAAATAGAAGACTGCATCAATTTTAGGCCCAATTCCTGGGAAGTTCTTGGTAATCTGTCGGGGATAACCAGGGTCCATGCGCTGATTCCTCTCATCATACCTGAGCAGAGAAATAACCAGCAGGAACTCAATCAGAAAATGGATCATATGACATGAGCCTTAAACCTGTCTTCTCTCCTGAAAGATTTTTTTTTTCTGAAAAAGTTTTAACTATACTGTTAAAGAAAACCAGGGACCTAAACAGATCTCTGCTTCACTCTAAGTCCTTATATGACTCCAACCCTAGGCTGCTGACTCTAGTCAAGCCTTTCTACTACCCCACAGTGCTTGCCCCAAAGCTGAGTCCTCCTTTATGCAGCCTGGAATTGAAGGTGATTTACTACAGCAAAAGACCCCACTGAACAAATATTTGTTTGCATGACATTGTCTTCTTTTCAAAAGCTTACCACTGAGACAAAATCAACAATTTCCTCCCAGAAGATAACAGAAGAGGCAAGGGTTTACTATCCATGGACTCAAAGGAATTTGAATATTAAATGTTAATGATGATGGGCTATGAAATACTATACCAGTTAGTGAACACAAAGTCCTATTTTCTAAAATCAAAAGTTCTACTTCTCAAAAAAAGGCTAAGATTGGTGGACAAAGATGTCATAAGCATGTGGTAGTCAACTGAAATTAAATGTTGAATTTTAGATTTTCAAAAGAAAAATAGAATTTTGCTAATGGTACATGTCTGTAATCCCAGCTACTTGGGAGGCTGAGACAGGAGAAACAAGTTGGAGGCTAGCCATGACAGCTTACCCAGAATCTGTCTCAAAATAAAAAGGGTTGGAGGTGTAGCTCAATGGTAGAGTACTTGCCTAGCATGCATGAGGTCCTGGGTTTAATTCCCAGTACCAACAAAACAAAAATGAAAAAGAAAAAAATTAGAGAATAGAGATTATAATGTAGCTTTCTTAATACATTCTGTTATTCCTCATGCTAATCACGTAAGCAATCTGGGAAATGGCTGGTTTTTGCAGAAGTTATAGATGACTCAGTCGTACTTCAAAATTAGATATTTGAGACAAAACCAGACAATCATCAGATGTGCTGCTGGCCATTCAGGATCTCCTGCCATTCTAAGGAAGGTTTCCTCCCTTACCTTTTGGGTTCAGTGATCACAGAAAGGAGTCCAGAAATCCAAAATGACTGTGCACTAAATACTAGTTCTCACACATCTATAAAACTATTTTCTAGTGTTTCCACTCTGATTAATACTATAACATCTCACTTAATGTGTTTCTTTTGGGAGTGATATGGGCCAAGTTATATTGTTATACTGTGTGTTGTGTGCATGTATGAATATGTAACAACGAATCCCATCAGTAGGTACAACTATAATGCATCAGTAAAAAATGTGGGGGGAAAAATAAAGTGTTTCTTTTTATTTTTAAGATTTATTTATCTCTTTTATGTACTGTTGGAGATCAAAGCAAGGGCCTCACGCATGCTAGACAAGTGCTCTACCACTGAGCAAAATGCTTTTTTTAAAAAATACATTTTATACTATTCTTATATATCAGAAACCCACAGCAAAGAGAAAAAAGAACTAGGTTGAAAATGACTATTTCAGTCCTATGTTCTCTCGATTCCTTTCCCAAGAAGGTCAAGGATCTTTAAGAATTTGCATCAAAAAACTACTTCTTTTTTTCAAAAAAGTTTCCCAAATTTTCTATTCATACATTATGATTATACATAATAGTGAGAATCACTGTGACACATTTGTACATGCACCTAACATACCAGTCAGTTTTCATTCCTCCCCTTTCTCTCCCTCCCCTGGGTCCCTGTTCTCTTTTCTTTAGAAGAAGTACCTTCTGGAAAGATCCATTCCATGCCTGTTTCACAAATCTTAGAGGTCAAAGCTAAAGCTCACCTCCAATACCAGCTATTTACAAAGAAGTAGGTCTTGTAGAGAAGTGGGTTGAAGACAGCACCATCAATTTTTTTCACATATTTAGGAAAGCCCAGCGAATATATACTCTTTGGATAGTTTGGCTGCAGTCTCATATTGCTAAGTAACCAGTACTTGTCATCTGTGAAGGCAAAAAAAGGATATATTAGGGTTACCCAGAAAGAATAATAAAAATACTGACTTACTACAAACAACATCATCTTTCCCTAGAGTTCTTAAATGTACATGGATCTTAAACATGGTCTATCTCCTACAGTTTTGAGTTTTTTCCCCACAAATATCAACATGTTATATTTTACAAACTAGCCCCCAAAATTCTATTTCCTGTGTAGTTAGGGTACTTTTGGTTCAGAGCTACCATTAATAAAATCTGGAGTGCTTTTTTGATCTATATCAATAAAAAAAAATAGTAGTTTTCCCTTAATTTGGCAAAACTAAACATTGGAATTACCTTTAAAAAGAAAAACTTGATTTCTGGCTTCAATTTCATAAGCAGCTTGAATGCCAGAAGGCAGGGTTGGCCATAAGGAAGATATTGAACTAATGCCGGTCTTTGATGTCTCAGGAAACTTCCACCAGAAGAACCTGCCATGAAAGGCATTTGACACGTTAGCCACTGTTATAGACTCAAGTACCGTGAAATGTGAACAGGAAGGACCTGTGAAATCAGTTATTGTTTCCTCCCTCCCTCCCTCCCTCCTTGCCTCCCTTCCTTCCTTCCTCTCTTTTTGAGATGAGGGCCTCACTATGTTGCCCAGACTGGACTCAGATTCCTGGACTCAAGGGGTCTTCCCTCCTCAACCTCCAACATATCTGTGACGACAGGTGGCCACCACAGCTCTTGGTTAAGAGTTGATACATCATTCCATTATTTGCACATTCTAGTCTATGGATGTCTCAGTGGGAGCACCACAGGAGAAGATCTTAATCAATTTTTGATAGTGACAATGACTTTTACAGTCAATCTGAGATATGGAAATAATCTGGAACTTGGAATCTAGCAATCTAAGATTCTAACCTGGCCTCCCAGCTCGTTCACCAGTTTTATAAACTGGAAGTTACCTAATCTTAGATGTCTGTTTTATAATTTCAAAAAAGGAAAAAAAAAAACCAGAATATTGGTCCTACCTACCAAATATCAATCTTCCCCACTGCCCTCCCTGCAAAATCTACCTCAATCTGTGTTCCAAGGCACAAGTTGTAAGTCATCCTGGAGAAAAACTTTTACATAGCAGCTCCTTACCTCCCAACTTCACTATCTTTTTCTATAACTAAAATAGTTGGGCTTTTCTGCTTCCTGTCTTCTAACTTCCCAACCCAGATTCTTACTGTAAATCCATTTTTGCACACTAGTGTTCTAGTTAATACAGACATAATCATACCAATTTCTTGCTTTAAAATCTGTAAGATCTTTCCTCTGTCTATTGAACCAAATTCAAGTCACTGCTTACAAGTTTCATCTACCTCACTTCAACTATTCTCTGATCAACAAAAAAGACAAGGGCTGGGGATGTGGCTCAAGCGGTAGCACGCTCGCCTGGCATGCATGCGGCCCGGGTTTGATCCTCAGCACCACATACAAAGATGTTGTGTCTGCCGAAAACTAAAAAATAAATATTAAAATTCTCTCTCTCTCTCTCTCTCTGGATATTGGGTAGATATGAAAATGGTCCTACCCGTCTTTAAAGAAAATAATTTTATCTCCCAATGTAGTGACAGCATCAAAACTCAAGTTGGGGTCACAGACAGCTGGCTTTGGTCTGTCCGGATTTGGCATAGGTTGGTGCTTCTCTGGGCCTCCTAAAAATACATTTCAAGAAACATTAGTAAAAATTGTGCATTTTAATTCCTAAGAGAAAGAACCATTCTTTTAAAAACATGCCATATTCTTGGCGACAAAATGCATCAATGTTAATTTAAGTGTTCTATAAAATTCATAAGATGTATATGCTAAGGATTTTTTTCCATATAGTTGCATATCATGGAGGAGAATAATCTGATTTTTGTGATTGTTAGATTATTTCTCCATGTGCCTCTTCAATGGGACAATGGCATGTCGGATAGAAAGGACAACACACCAAAGCCACAGGTTTCACCTGAAATTACACCCCAAGTCTTTTGTCTCCATATGGAATATGAAGATGTTATCCATGCTACTTACCTCACAGGGCTTCCAAAGGTTCAACAGAAAAGGAAGTAAAGTTTCATCCTAATGTAGATACTCCTAGAATGTTTATAAGTGTAACTAACTTTGTATGGCAAAATGACATGGAGGTCCAACTCACCGTAGAGGGACTGAATGCCACGGATGTCATCAGAAGACAGGTGAAACATGTTGGGGTCGAGATAACCATAGTTGGGGTACATTATTGCCTTTCGATCATTGGAATGCCCAAGTCCCAAGGAATGCCCAAGTTCATGGACAGCAACAAGGAATAAGTTTCTGCCTAGGAAGAAATCAACCAAAGGGGATAAAGTGTGAAATATATAGTCATCTTATTTTAAAATGACTCATAAAATTGTACATACTTATGAAGTATCATGATTCTATCTATATAGATATATAGATATAGAAATATAGATATAGGTATAGAAACATTTGTATCTATACCTATATCTATCTATCTATATATATGCAATGTTTCTTTGTGGGGAAAGCATTCAAAATTATTTCTTCAAGCTTTTTGAAATATGCACTACAATATTGTTATCTATAGTAACCCTTCTGTACAATAGCACACCAAAAATTCTTACTCCTACCTAACTATAACTTAGTACCATTGATCAACCTTTCCCACTTCTTTCCTTCCCTATGTTCTCTTTAGCCTCTGGAAACCACTATCCTACTCACAACTTTTATGAGATCAACTTTTTTGGACTCCACTTGTTAGTGAGATCATGTGGTACTTGTTTTTCTGTGCCAGTTTTTCACTTAATGACTTCCAGTTCCATTCAGTGATAGGACTTCATACTTTTTATAGCTGAATAGTATTCCACTATGTATATATAATACATTCTTTATCTATTCATCAGCTGATGGATAATTAACTTTACATTTCTTACCTTGGAATTCTGAAGACAATAACATAATATCTGAGACAGTGAAATTACTGATTTCCTCACTCTCTTAAATAGGGTTTCTTAAAATCAACATTATTGACATTATAGGTCAGATAATTCTTTGTATAAGGCAGTCCTTTGTATTATAGCTGTTTAGAAATCTCTAGTTGTACCACTAAATGCTAAATGCTAATGGCAAACCCCCTCTATTTTTTACAACAACAAAAATATCTCCTGGGAGGGGAAAATTTGCTCGGGACCACTGAACTAGTAAGCAAATGAAATGTATTCTGTTGTGAAAATTCCTAGAATAACTCATAGCTATGTTCAGTAATTAACTCATTGATTCTAATCATTCTTAACTAATGCAAGGTGTGTTTGTTTCAACCACTTGGGAGAATGAGCAAGAGGATCACTTGAGCCTAGGAGTTCAAGGTCAGCCTGGACAACGTAGAGAGAGCTTGTCTCTCAAAAAAAAGGGGGGGGGGTAAGGGGGAGAAATAGATAGAGGTTGTTATAACTCAGTGGTAGAGCACTCACCTAGTAGGCCCTGGGTTCAATCCCCAAAATCTCAAAAAAAAAAAAAAAAGTAATTCCCAAGTCCCATGACTCTACTTATACTCAGCTCTTACTCCTTTTTTTGTTTTGTTTTATTTTTTGGAACTAGGGATTGAACCAGCACTTTGAACAAGCTAGACAAGCATCCCACCACTGAGCTACACTGCCAGCCCCGTTTTAAAATTATTTTGAGACAGGGTCTCACCAAGTTGCCCAGGCTAAACTTGGACTTGAAATTTTCCTGCATCAGACTTTTGAGCAGCTAGTATTATAGGTCTGCACTACCATGTCTGGTTGCTTTTACTCTTTATCCAGCTTCAGTGAATATAGAAAGGTCTTTGATAACCATCCTTTACTAGACCCACATGTGAGGCTATCTATCCATAAGTTCCAGATACTATGAATGACTGAGAAATACAGCACACTGTGTCTAATCCTTACCCAACTCAAGAAAACCACCAGCTCATCATTTATATATCAAGAGGACCCAGGGCTGGGGCTGTAGCTCAGTGGCAGAGTGCCTGCCTTGCACATGTGAGGCACTGGGTTTGATTCTTAGCATCACATAAAAATAAACAAAATAAAGAAAGAGAACCCAAAGGGTCAATTGATCAAATTAAGTGCTTGGGTCAAGATCAGATCCAAATTTCTTGGCTCAGAAGCTCATGATTTTTACTACACATAATTCTAAATATAATTAAAGGCACTAACAGAATTTGGACTAAAAAGTTATAATCATGCTTATTCGTTATTTCTATATGTCTTAGAGGATTCACTTTTGTTAGTAAAAGAGGGAAGAAAGGTATGCCCCTTCTCCCCAATTTCTAAATTCTCAGATTTAAATAACTCCTGAAATTTTGTGTTTTACACCTATGTCTTCTGTTTTGTTTTGTCTTGTTTTGTTTTTTCCTGTAACAAAACTATATCTCAGAAGAAATGATTTGTCTGAGTCACGCACCACTTGGGACTCCTGAAATACCTACCACCAGGTAACTAGGTGAAGAGTCCACACCTCTCCTGCAGAGGGTCCAGGCACACAGGCTATGCACAACCTTAACCCAGGCCCAGCAACTAACTCAGAGAGCTGTCATTCTTCTCACAAATAGAAGAAGGAAGCTAGAACTAGGTTATTCCCTCAACTCCACATGAGACTGGGAAGAGTAAACAAAGCTTTTACAATTTGGCCTAAATCTGAATTTATTCTATTCTCAGTTCTCATATCACTTTGTACAAACCACCACCATTAGTCCCCAACTCCAAATAACGTATTTCTGCTCATGTTCTGTCTTCTACTAGATTGCAGGCTCAATGACAGAATTGTGTCCTTCTGATCTCTGTATGCAAATACCCCATCACCCAACACCATAACAATTAGCCTAATTATTCACTTAATTTTTTTGAGTCAAAAATTTAGGTTGAGAATAAGCATTTTAAGTTAGAATTTTCATAAATAACTTTTTGAAGCATAGAATCAAGTCAATTTAAAAAACTAAGTCTAAGAACTGGGAAATACATATTCCAGTCCAGCTTTTCCACCAACTAGTCACTACCCTTCTCTTGGTCTCAATTTTCTCTTGAGCTGTATTAAATACTTTTTAAAGGACTATTAGAATTCTAAACGTTCTTTGAGGCTAGCCAGCACTAGTATCTCATTTCAGATGAAGAGCTTACAATCCCCAAATACCCCTGGATAAAATTTAGACACATTTAACATGTCTGGTTGAGGATTTGCAATTCAGCAAGTGCCTAATCCTACATTATCTGCCTTTAAAATACAGAAGTCCTCTTCTCATCAAAAAGTTGATAAGCCTTAAGCTATATATCAGACTGGAATAGCCTTTCTGGTGGACAGAGTGTCTATAAAAATATTGCCCTACAGTCAGAGACAGGGGGATGCTGATTAGACTATCTTCTTAACTTTATCCCTATTTACTTTCCACATAAGCAAGTCATATAATCTAGAATTTTTCAGGTTAGTGATTCACCAAGTTATAGGTGAGTTTAGTTAACCATATGCATACATCTGAGACAGAGGGTGAGTTACAGTCCTTCTGCAAATGCACACAAAGTACTTCAATCATTTAAATAATTGATTTGTTGAACATTCTGCAATTTTTGTCACAGGACCACACAAGACCATGTGACTATATAATGTTGGGTTTCTCCATACAGGTCTCTAAATTCTCTATAACTTTATCTTTCTGCATCAATATGAATCTAAGAAATTATCAGCAAGTAATGAGTCAAACCCATGACCACGTTATGCTATGTGTTGGCATATACAGAATTATTAGTATTTGTGTTTGCTTTAGAGTTCATGGATTTTACTTTCCAAACCTAAATAACAGCTTTTACCTTCCCTGAGTCTATACTAATAATCTTGCTTATATCTCATAGAATTACAGTAGATTCTTAGAGATTATCTTTAAGATAATCTAGTGTAATATCCTCAATTTATAAGAGGTGAAACTGAGACTCAGCTAAAGAGTTAAATTTGATCTAGAGGCAAAATTATAGTCTGCACAAATTTTTCCAGGTTATCATATTTTGCCAGAAGGTAGACTTTCAAAATCAGGACAGATTTTAAAATTTGTTAGGTTTAATTTTTTTCCCTACCATTGTGATTTTTACTCCAGGTTTCTGCCTCATCAAAATGTGCATCTCCTCCAATACCAGGTCCAGGTTCATAAGCATGGGCTAAGACTCCATCTTTGCCATCAAAAGGGTTGAAATCTCCATGAGCTTTTTTTTTAAAAAAAAAAAAAAAAAGGAAAGAAAATTAGTGCTTTCATATATGCTATAGATCATGTCAAATGAGACAGATGGAGTCCAAATTCTTCACCTCCATTTGCAAAAGATATCATAATGTCAGCTTCTCCCGCATGAACCCTTCTGAATTTCAGGGGGGTCACGTCACTCCATACTTGAAAAGCTTTCTGGATGGCATAGTCAACATCCTCTTGCTTCATGTCAGGAGTGTAATTATTGATTCTTTATCAGAAAAAAAGAGAGAGAAACATAGAAACTATATGTTAATTGTCTTATCATAATACTTCAGTTCCAAGACCCTCACTGAAGGATGAAGCATTGCATAAATCAAGAATTCAGACAAAGAACAATTTGCTTTAGTACAAACCATTTTTCCTTGGACAACTTTCTCCTAACCAAAATCTATCTTAAATTCTCTTATTTATGACTGAAATGAAGTCATTGTGATGGATTTTCTTTCATAGATGCTTATAGCTTCTTCTCCTGCTCCCAGACTTCCACATTTGCCCATCTTGACTACTCTGTATACTTTCTCCTCTCTCGGACTTATAATTATTTCAACTTCATGCTCCTTTTATTTGAAACTTTCTTATATTCTGCTAACTTAACCTGCAAGACATACAATTACAACTCTTCTTGAGTGAGCAATTCTTCCTTCCTTTTAGAGATAATGAATTTAAGCACAGAGATAGAGTAACAATTGAGGAAGGTCACTTCTCTACTTCCAAATTTAGGGATATATTGTATCTAAAGGGCTTGGGTTTCTCGAAGTCAAACCACTGGGAAAACAGAAGAACTCACAGCTCCATACACCTGCATTACCTGTAGGTGATTTCATGCTTCTTCCACACTGGCCTTCCTTGAAATGTGCTGTAATGATGGACATCAGGCACTCCACATCTAGGTTTGTGCATCACCTCCAGAGTAGAAGTGTCCAGCTGCCCGGTCACGTTTAGCCCAAAGAACTGCTGCATTTCCTGGATTTTTTCCTTTAAGGAGTCCCTACTGATTTTCATTTTTGTCATTGGAATTGTCTCCATAAGTCCATAAAAATGATTCAGGTACATCTGGAAAAAGATACATTCAGTAATATATAGCCACATGCAGGAAAGTTGGCCCTGGGAGCTTTGCGTTTTGACCCACCTGAACAGTGATATTTTCAAACTAGGTATTTTTACATTTTAATCACAGGTTAGAATGTTGTTATTTAGACGATTATTATAATGAAAAAACAGTTTAATTTATGTGTTATCAAAAACATGTCAGAACTTACTAGATTTATTTCTAGAAGCCCAATGGGGGGAAAAAATCTTTGTTTCTACTTCTTCAAACTTGTTTCTACTCCTTTGAAAATATTTTAGTATATTATGTTATTTGATAAATGACAAAAATCTTCATTGCTAGAATGCTTAAAGTGTTAATTTAAGCTGGGATAAAACTTTCTTGCTTGACTTGGGATGCAATTCGTGGTAGACGGCTTGCCTAGCATGCTCTTAAGCCTTAAGTTCCATCCTCAGTACTACCAAAAAAAAAAAAAAAATCCTTGTTTAAAAATACAAAGCTGGACACAATGGACAACCATGATAAGTTCAAAGTTAAAATAATTTTAGAAAATAGAACCATGCATGGCAGCACATGCTTGTAGTTCCAGCTATGTGGGAGGCTAAGGTGAGAGCATCACTTCAGCTCAAGAGTTTGAAGCCAGCCTATGTTAAAAAAAAATCAAGTTAATTTTAAAAATAAGAGATCCAGCTCTTTTAGTCATAAAGCACATAAGAACTGAAAGTAATATTTTTAAGAAAAAGGCTTATGAAGAAATATCTGGGATGAAAAAGGGTAATGGGAGTATGTTGAAATTATCATGGCAGCTGATGTGGTTAAATTGGTCAATCCACCAGACAATCTCAGACTGTTAATTGGCATAGATGACTAATATAAAATATTATAACAGAATTATACTGAACTGAAAGTCCTTGGTCAAGACTTTTTAGAGAAAGGGACAAATGTCACTTACCCATTTCATAACACTCCTTCAAAACTAATACTTTCTTTATATTCCTCTGTAGCAAAGAAAAAATTCAATGCTGAAGGCAAACAGCCTAATAGAACAGTTTTCAAATAGCCTTTTTCAAAATAAAACAAGTAAATGCAATAAAAACAAAAATCAGGCTAGATAAATACTATAGTGACAATACTTACTTCAGCAAATTCCTCATCCATTTCTGTGGGGCTTATTACTTTGGCTTGGGAAGCAGCTCCAAGCTCAGTGACCCACAGGACCAGAATCAACAGAAGAAGCTTCATTGTTAACTTCTCCCTCCAGAAGAGCTTAACTCAATTTACTCTGCGCTATTGTAGTTCAAGTTCCTTATATGTCCCTTTTTATATAACTCTTAGGCCAGACTCTTTGAATATGAAATCCTTTGAGTGACTCACAGTTGATATCATCCCTTGATTTATCTCAAAAACATGCAAGCATGACCTTATTTAACTAACAATGGGTCAATCCGCATTAACCCATCATTCACCTAGGTATCTCATAGTATATTTCTGCAAAATGCTAAGTTCTTTCACCCCTATGAAATAAGCCCTTCTTTAAAGAAAAGAAAAAGCTGAGCATCTAAAATATAAAGATAACTTAAAACACATTTTTATAAAGTTTAGTATTCTCAGTTTTAATTATGATATTCCTCTTCATCAGAAATGAAATCAGTTTTTAAAGTAGATTTGAAAATATTTCATAAATAAAGTTTCTTTTTTTGCCAGATAGATGAATCCTCTCTACCTTGGGAACTCCATAGAGAACTATGGAACTATGATATAGAGATTTTAAGTTTAGCAAAAGAAATTTCATAACATCAGTATGCTTTGATGTTCTATGTGTTGTATGAGCTTAGGTCCTAATTCTATAACTTGAGATCATCAAGTCATTGCACTTGAAAACCAATCCCAATGGGGTTCTTTGATAGTTTCCAGAGGCAAAATTTCCTTAGCTCCCTAATTGTCCAGAGTTGGCAGCACAAGGCTTAACACTTTTCAGTGACAGAAAAAGTTTACTTTTGGAATCTCTCCATCTTATCAACACAGCTTCTTTCCCTCTTGACCCAACTATTCCATTTTTCATAAAACCTGCCTCACAGACATAGAGTATTAAGAACTGAAAATATGTAAGAGTCAAGGAATAAAACTTCAAAAGTAGAATTGCAAGTAGTGGGGCTGTGTGGGGGGAAAGACCCTACTGAACAGCCCTTCAAATCCCACCACAAGTCAGCTGCCTGCTGATGCTGGCATAACAGCCTTCTGGATGTTTGGAGGCACTCAGTAGTGTGTCATCATTGAATAATTGCTCTGACCCACGTCCCTGACCTGGGACATGCTACTAGCAGCTTGCTAGCATTTTTCTAAGGTGGCACCTCTGGAGGAATGATCCCTTCTCAATAGGAAGAAAAAGAGGCCTTTGCATTGGCCCTGGTATTACTCCTCCAAACTCTGAACTTTTCAAGTTCCATAGTTGGACCAGTGGGATTTTTATCAAGTTTGCAACCAGATGTAGTTCTAGAATTCATGAGGAGGAAAATCAGGTGGAAAGGTGTAAGGTAACCCTTTGGAATGCTGAAATCAGTTCAAGAATCAAAAAAGGAACACAACAGAGTTGGACTTGAAAGCAGGAAAAATATATTATTTGTTGGAAAATATCAGAAAGGCTGATTTTTCCACCATTCTATTCCTGATGCCAAAAAAACTACCTTGGAATTCGTAATAAACATATGTGAATGAATCTATTTGGAGAATGCTAAGGACATCAAGAGAAAACTTCCCTAGTAGGAGCAATCCTTTCCTGAATGGTGTATTCCTAAATCTCACTGAAAACAAGAACTGATCTTATACACAGCGGGAATGAATCTGGTTATACAAAGATTTACAGTAAGAATCTTGAAAGTGTAGGATGTGAGATACAAGGAAACACTTCCAAAGATACAGAGAAGTGAAAGAATGTCTTCACTAGAAATAAAAATAGAATACCATAACCAAATTTTATTTCTTTAGAAGTCTTGATTCACTGAATACCCCAAATGAGTCAAGTAGGAGGAGATATAGGCCATTTGGGCAGCCATAGGACATTACAATTGTTGTCAGCTTAGGTCCTGGAATCTAACTGACCTGCTATAAAATTGTTCCAGCACTTTATGACCTTGGACAGTCACTTTAAACTCTTTAACACTTATTTTTTTTCATTTGTAAATTGGGATAATTGTATATACCTTGTGAATTACAAAAATTACATTAAGTAATAAGGAAAAATATTAGCCTACGGCCAATACACCTTAAGGGTTTAGCGATTGCTCTCTCCCTTCATCTTCCTTTACTGAACTCTTAAATAAGGCGTTTTTAAAGAAGTGTGTAATGGAAATTAAGAGGGAGATCAACTACCTGGCCAGGCCTCTCTCCTGAGATAGAAGGAGCTACAGAAATATTCTGACTCAGGCCCAGACTGGAAGCTGAGGGTCCCAGGAGAGACATGGCTCCCAGGGGACATACTGAAGGAAGGGAGAATACAGGGATTAGTGGCAATGCTCTATGTGAAGAGGAGCATATTTATGAAAATTCAGAGAACAGCTGAGGTCAGAGCTCCTCATGAGTGTCTACTATGCTGATAAGGTTTTCCTTATTAGAAGGCATGCTTTATAGCACAAAGCTTCTAAAGGCTTCCAAAGCTTTTTACATTATTTTCTTCCTTTGCCAGACACCAGGATATTCCAGGGTATATTCTTGATACCTGCAACCATTTGTAGTGTCATCCCCAGGAATCCAGAAGCAAACAGAAGCATGATTACCAGCCAGGACCAGGAAGGAGCAACACTCACAAAATGCTCAAAGAAATTTCTTAGCTGTCCCTTCCCTGAACAAATAGTTTGTTTGTGCAGAAAGAAAACTTCAGCTAGTTGATTCCTTTTATGGATAAAGAAATGGAGATCTGGAAAAGAGAAGTGGATTGCTTAAGGAGACATCCAGGCAGTCTCCTGACTCTGTCCTGTCTTTTTGCTATGTCACACTTCCTTTGCTATTTTGATTTTTCTTCAGTTGTGTCTCCCTTATGAATATCTTATTGCAAAAACTACAAAAATAATACCAAGACACCCTCAAACGTTTTAGTAAAAGCTTTGCTCTTGGGGGTGCCAGGTGTAACAAGATAGTCCTGGGAATACTGTAAGTAGATGTGAATTCTCCAAGGAGGTGGCAACACGTGTCTGCTCTCTGGAGGGTGAACTTCTGCGCACCTCTGCCCCTACATTGGCCTGGGCTTGGCCCTGCGACTACCATGCCCTCTGCTTCTAGGGCTCCCCAGAAATTGGATTAGAGCATCTCTGAGGAGAACAATGTTTGGAGTCACCCTAGTGAGTTTGTAGACTTAAACAAGTAATTTTTATGTGCTTCATTTTCTTTATATCTAAAAATGTGGATAATATTAAGGTTTTTTTGGTAAAGAACAAGTAGCATAATTCATTAAAAACACCTAGCTGTGTGCCATCATATGATGGGACCTCAATAAGTGTTAATTCTTTGCCTTCTCCCTTACCTCCCTGCTCATGCATGTTGGCCATGTTTGGGATAGACCAGCTTACTTTTTCTGCAATGGAGAAAAATGTATCTAAATAACAAGTAAAATAGAAAACCTTCAACAGAAAGTTGATTTCCACATGTAGGAAAATAAAACTTTTGCATAGTTCCTTTGTGTTCTTACTCTGTTTTGACCACAAGTGAATCCACATCCAACAAGAAAACAGCTGGAAAATGTCCTGAAAACAGATGAGGTTGATGATGCAGACAGCTAGGAGAGCCCCTTCTGCCAGAATGAACTGGAGCTTGACCCTGCACAGAGCTGCTACTTAGCTCACATTTGTAAGACAGAGATCATCAGAGTAATTGCTGAGGCTCTCCTGCCTTCTAAGCTAGCGCTCAGCTCAAAATTGTATCAGAGAGCTCCCCAAGATATTCTTCCCAAGGAGAAACTGCAGAATGTTAACAAACTCCTGGAAGGTGTGGAATTTGGGAGCAA